TCCCTCTTCTCCAGGCACCTGCAGGCACGGAGTTGGTTTTGTCACTTCTTTGTTGTGTTCAATCTGATCCAGTGCAGCAGCTTCTGTGTGACAAGTACAGTGCCATTCTGGAAAGCTTTTCCGGCTCTGATTTGTTACATCTTCACAGGTAAGGGTGTCTTCAAGATAGCGCGTTCTTCAGTTTTAGCAAACAGAAATTTTCGAGGGGGAGAAGAAAAATATCTGTTGACTAAGTTTTCTCATCCTGCTTTCTTGCCCTGCCTGAACATTGTCTTTAAGCAAACTGGTATTTCTGGAAACATTGTTCCTTTTCCCTTGCCTTGTAATTGAACCCCTCCTCTGCCTTGTGAGCACTATCCCAACGATATGCAATAGGATTTTATGCGATTTAGCATTTTGCTAAACGTAGAGATTAGTTTTAGCTTGGAAAATAAGAGTCAGTTTGTGGTTTAAGTCACTCAGGATGAGCTAACTGGCTCAGTGGACAAGAGGCGAGCTTGTGCTTTTCGGAGGGAAAATATCAGTGTCTGTGAACACACATTTCAAAAAGATGAAGCCAGACTCTTCTCAGCTGTGTCTAGTGAAGGAATAATGGGCACAAACTGAAATACAAGAAATTCTATTTAAACATAAGAGAGCCTGTGATCATAAAGTGCAAAAGCTGAGCCACTCTGTGCAGACCTTTCTCTTTCTAATTGTGAAACTTAATTGCGAGTTTTGCAAATTGCTCAATCCTTGCTTAGGTGGGGGTTTCTCCTGCAGCATTGCTTGCCAAGGTTTAGCAAGGAAAAGAGTAAAGTAGCATGATATGTGCTGCTGGATTGCTTATAGCTCTCCTGTAAGTAAACTTTGTGTAGTTGTCGATTGAGAGATGCACGTGGACGAAGATCATCATTAAAGTCCATGAAATAGCGCAGAAAATTGCACGGATTGATTTTGTAGTGTTGATTCTGTGGTATGTTTTTTGGTGCCCTTTGCCTGGTCCATGAGAGAGAGAAGTCACGAGGAATATTAACCTGGTATTCAAAGCCCTGAATTCTGCTGCAGTTTACAAGAATTGTTAGATAGTAAGTCTGTGTTAGCGGCGGCATCCCGTCGGCTCAGGTTAGTTAATTTTATCCCCTTACGGAGCTTTTAGGAAGTGCTGTAGTTTTCTGTGCTAGTGGGGGTTATTTGCATTGGCATAAGATATTCTCGGGGTGGGGAGAGAATCGGCGACTGAAGAACTGTCTCGTGAGTCAGAGCAAACTCTGTATTGTGTAGGGTTTGATCACATTTATCTCAAGTGCTTACCAGGATCTTAATGTTAAATAAAAGGATGTCGAAGCAGTAAGACTCTCACTGTTGAGAGAACCGTTTTACAATACGATATGTAATAGAAAATGGGGACTTGAGAGGCTTATTAAACCTCAGTGCATTTCTGTGACTAGAGAAAGACAACGGGAAAAGTTACAGCATCTAAGGCTAGTGTCTAGTTGTGGTTGTATAGGATTTTCTGAGGTTCATTAATATTTTTGTATTTCGGTACTGTATTTTGTAGGAGAAGCATATCCTTCAGAAATGGAGAAGATTTATGCAGACCCAAACATGGAAAAGTAAGTCAAACCCTTCTCAGAGTTTTATTGTGGTGCAAATATCACTGAGAGGCAAAACTTTTCATAAACCGTGCAGCACCTCCTGAGTGCAATGTGGTTTTGATTGTGCAGAATGCGGAGGTTCCCTGATTGTATGTAGAAAAGCCATGAGGGAATTTCACAGCAGTGGGCTGTTTGGAGAGTGACTGACCATGGGGTTTGGAGGCCAGTCTGCTGAGTTCTCCAAAGCTTATTTTTGGGAACGAGTGCTGGAATGAACGATCTATTCCAAGCAAACTTGTTGAGTTAATTTCGCTTTTGTAATAATAATAGAGAAATCAATTTATTAACCTGAAAAACGTGGCAGTACTGTTCAAGAAACGCGTCTTGGTTCAAGTTTATGCCCTAATGCCTGTTTCGCTTTTTTCCCCTCCAGTGATAATACAGAGCACTTCAGAGGGAAACGACTGTCCTCTGTGAGTAACTTAAGGCGTTTCTCAAAATAAAACTGTGTGAGTGAGTGGAGGAAAGAACGGGCAGCTGCACAGAGGGACTCGTTTTCTCCTCACGCCCCAAGAGCATTCCAAAAGCAAAGGAGGGGCCTATTGGATTGCTGTGATTGTCTGGGGCACTGGTGGCTCTTACAAACTCTTCCCAGCCAAGCAATCAGTTCTTGTAGCTGGAGGCCAACTTCTCCACTATTATATTTTCTTTTAGATTTTAAAGGCTCCGCGAAATCCTCTTGACGATCTGGGAAATGGGAATGAGTTGACGCAGGTAGGTCTATTAAGTTTTTTCTGCCCGATGCTCTTAATATCTTCAGTTTGCTTCTCGACTTGTCACTGATTAAACTGTGTCACTAGAATAATGCAGGTGTAAAAGCTCTTGTGCTAACTGCTTCAGTGGATAATGTCTGGAGTACTAAATATTACAAGAAATCCATCCAGTTTTTCATACACTTCTATTTTACATCAGAATATTTCTTCTATGAAGAAAAGGAATAAACAGAGTTTAATAGACAGAACTTGCTCCTGCTGTAGCCCATTGGACTTAAAGTTTGATCCACCACTGTACAAACTGGTATAGTCACTGAGAGTTTTACATCCAAAAAAACCCAAACCAGCCTTCCAATTTATTTAGAGTAAAAGCTAAATACTAAATGTTTTCTTCCAGAAATATATACAGGACATCATTCATAGCTGCTCACGTTGCTGACACAATTTCTTTAAAAATTGGGTATTTACAGACTTTTAGTCATGTGCATGTAACAGGTGTGTTCATGCTTTGTGTTTTCTTAAACCACCAGCATTCCAGCACCCCGAGGCTGAGCTAGTTCGTTAGGAAATCGTATTGCAGGCAACTGTTTCATTAAAAGCTCGCTTTTTGTGGCTTGTCGGGTAAGAACAGTTCTCTGGATATCCAACCGTTGTGTTCTTTGTTGTCAGGATATCAATGTGGAAAAACGCAGGAAAAACTCACGCCGCGTCAGCTTTGCGAACACCATAAAGTAAGTTTGGTCTGAGGGATGTGGCTCTGCAGCCTTTATTTAAGCATAAAATGCAGAGTATAGGTAATAAAATGCGGGGGATAGGTAATAATCTGGCATCCCCCAAAATTGCTTTCACTGAGCATTCACAAATGTGTGCAAACAACGTGACTTGTTATATTGAGTTGATTTTGAGCCCTGAGACCCATGATTCATTTTCTCTTCCCAGCTGGGAAAACACAGTTCAGTGAATTTTATGTAATTAGGAATTTTTTGTTTCCCATTAAGCTTTGTAGTGATTTCCATCTTAAGTATGATAATGGCATCCTCTCGCTGGCAAATGCGTGTGGGTTCAGTGCGCTTCTGGCTTTTGATATCTCATATCAGAGCATACCATTGAAATTAGGGCTGAGGTGGTTTTTTTGGGTTGGTTTTTTTATCTATTTTTTATTTACTTTGTTGTTGTTACTAATTTACTTTACAACCCATAGTCTTGTGTTTAAAAAAATGATGTTGTTTTTGCTCTTAGCTGCAGAGTCTTCCAGCGAGAGCTTAAGAATAACACAGCAGAGGGAGAAAATACAGGTAAAACTCCTTTTTATTCTCCTGGCAGAATTCACAGACTATTAGCAACAAGATTTTAGCCTGAATTTAAGAAGTCAGGCCTGTCAGTCACACGTAAGGAACAACACAATCAGCTGGCCATCACGGACTGGCTGAAACTCACTATTTACGGGTACTGTGGACCTCGTAGCTCAGAAAAAAGATTATTTTTTAGAAAAAATGCACCTAGAATAAGATCTGCCTTGGGGATTTAGATCAAGGCTGAGCAGAATGTCATATCCACTCTGTCAAAGATTACCTAGGAGGAATCTGAGAAGCTAATGCATTCTTCAAGTATTTTGCTTCTCTGGGGTTTTGCCACGAGAAGAAGGCACAGCAAGAGTGAGACCGTTCTTTTCTGCGCAGTTTACTCTTGTCTCTGAATGGTTTGATTGTGCTTCTCACATTGTCATGTCTAATTTCCTTACTATTTTTAGAGTGTGCAGCAGATACGAGGGATGATGTCCTGCTTAATCAGTAAGTTTGAAAAAAAAAATCCCTGCAAATACGTTTCTTGACATAACATGCAGCCATTAAAACATTGTCTTTTTTTTTTTACTTGTCACTGAGGAATTAAAATGTCATCTATATGTTGAACAGTGGCTTGTGGCATGCTGACATGAGAGACTCATGAGAAAATAAGATTGCAACTCAAATTAGAATATGTTGAAGTCATATAAGTAGTGTCTGGTATCTGCTACCCAGTCCCACATGAGCTATGCGAGAAAATTCTCTGCCTTTCCAGTACGTTGCTGAAGCTTTCTGGTTTGAAATCTTTTAACTAACTGTTTATCTGACCCACCTTTTGTAGAAATGAAGAACCTGAAGCTGTTTCCTGTGAGATCACTGGTGAGTTTTGAAACAGATTTAATACGAAAATGACTCCTCAAAACTGCCAGTTCTGTCTGGATGATTTTAACCTGCCTCAAACAGTCGCCATGGCCGCGAGGACTGTTGCACGAAGGGGCTTTGTCCCACGAAGCTGCTGGCATCAGGGGGTTGTAGAGGCGCGGGGGGCTTTTCCTAGTGCTGAAGAGAGCAGTGAAAATGTTTTTCAGGATGTATTCGGTTTTAGTTGTACTTACTTCCTCAGTGGTATTTGCAAACCGAGCACACAGATATTCAGCTCAGTGGATAAAATAATAAGAAAATAGTGCAACAAACGGAGTATTTTCCTTTCTTTCGACAGGAATGAGCACTTTGCTTCACGCCCCTATCCAGGCATTGGTGCAGCAGACCGAAGTATGTGAAGGTTTTGATTTGTTTTTATTTTTTTTTTGTGCTGAAATTATCAGTGTTCAGAATCTACTCCAATAATTTATATTGTAAAGATGAAAAATGTAACTCAACTGACTAAAAAAGAAAACTTTATGTTCACATAACATTATTCTGAGGGCTGACCTGCTATATTTTGAAGTATAGGCATCACACTGCAGTGTTGATAACTGGCTTTGTTTGTTTTCAGTGTCAGCAACTGTAATTTCTTCCTGTTTTTCCTTTTTTTTTTTAGTGGCATGATGCAGACAGCGCCATTCAAAGAACAAACAGGAATGACACCACCCTCATCTTTTCAGAGGAAAACGAAATGGATATGACAGCTAGTCACACCGCAGTGATTACTCGTAACCTGAAAACCAATCAAGCTGACGAAACTGAGAAAATAGATGTCACATCGTTTCTGGCTGGGTTAAACTCTAACAGTGGAAAGGCAGAAATGAGCAAAGAATTTCATTTCTTCTCTGACCCTACAAACAATTCGTGCCCATCTTCCAAACAGAAGGAAGACGCTACTGCTGTGAAAAAAATAAATTTCAATGAATTTTTGATGAGCTTGAAGTCAAACACAACGCTGCTTAATCCTACTGAGGGACCTGAAAAAGAAAATGGTTTTTTTGGCCCTTTGCAAGTCTCAGAAGACGTGGCACGATCCTCGGTGGAATTCATTTATTCCCACGAACCACCGGACACCTGCAACGTAACCAAAATCTTTAGGGGGCAAGATGATGGGATGGAGATGACAAAATGCCAGGCATCTCATGTGAAAGCCGCGTTTTCTGCTACTGCTGAAGCTGCTCCGCAGCAGTTACCGTGTGGGGATGTTACCGAGGCGTTCGTAGATGATGGCATGGATATGACAACTAGTCACACTGCAAAAGTGTCTTTTCCCTTCTCTAGTGCGGGGAATCAAAGTCTGAACTTCAAAAATGATTTCCCACCCACGGAGTTAGACAATTCGATATTAAAGAGAGCAACTGATCAGCACATCCCTCAGCTTTGTACAGACAAGAAAATAGTAAATGTTGAAGTCGGACGAGCTCCTGCAGTGCTGCGAGCCGTGAAACAGGAGGCCAGGCCGATGTCTGCCATCCGAGGAGCTGTTTCTTCTGAGACTGTCTTTCGAGGTGATAAAACTGTTGTTTTTTCTAAAGGCGATGACATGGAAATTACTGGGAATTATACGGAGGTATTCTATGATGATGATATCAGAGGAATGAACAGTTCGTGTCACAAAACTTTTGAAAAGCCAGTTAATACAAACTCTTCACTGGCAGAAACCAGCCGCCCAGCACAGGGTGACAGGGACATCACAAAGAGTCTAACATCTTTAGATAATCGGGCTTCTGTGTCATGTAAAAATAGTGCTCCTGAACTAACTTCAGGCTCAGATGAACAAATTAAAAAAGTGACCCAAGACCACGGGGCAGCCTTGATGAGTGTTGGTTTGGATTCACGTACAAATTCGGTGTCTGCTGGTGTTTCTAAGAGCAGGCTCCAGCACAGACTCACAAACTCCCAACTTGGTTCTCTGCCCGGTGAGAAGACGATAATATTCTCAGGAGAAGATATGGATGTGACTAAAACCTGTGATGTCAAACATGATGGAAAGAATGTTGAAAACGCATCTGCTGCTGGAGCGTTCGCCTCAGTGATCTCCAGACCTCATTTTCTTGACAACAGACGTACATCTTCCCCTGTAACTGAACAGGAAGAAATGGAAATGACGAGGTGCCATGCTGTTGTCATTGATGATCAAAGCAACGGGATCACTGCAGAAGCAAAACAAATGCCGTGTAAAATAATTCCGAGAAAGAACCAGAACAAAAATGTCAGAAAAGGTGCAAATTCTGTAGATATGGACAAGGAAAATGTTGAAGTGATCGGTATGGATGGGAATATTCAAAGAAGCCAGGCTGTAGAAATGAATACCAGCGATCTCAACATGGTGATGGTTGATAAGCTTACAAGAACAAGCTTTCAGGCAAGTGGTGCAAGTTCTTGTGCAAAGAGCGTGTGTTTGTCACAAGAGCGAAAGAGAGAAGTCCCTGAGAATATTGTCACCGGCACCTCTGCATCCGTGGCTTTGCAAAGTCAAAGCCTTGTTTTATCACAACCTTTGGAAAAAACCCTTCCAAACGCTTCTGGTCCCTGTGCAAATAACAAAACGAGCGTGGTTTCGGAGGATCAAAACGTGGTCGTGACCAAAACTCATCCTGCTGCCTCGGACGTTGCTTCTCTTAGAACAGTACAAGGATACGAGAATAATCGTAACCAAAATGATGTCATACCCAAGCAGCTGCAAAAGCAGACCCTCCAGTGCTCTGGTAGTCCTGGCGTAGATATCACGAGTCAGACTGCAGCCAGCCAGTGCGGGGATTTGAAAAGTAACCGAAAGAAGCAAACTGGGATTCCTTTGGCTCCAAATGGTTCCCTTGTTTCCAGTAACGAGCCCGCTGGGACAAAAGGAAATGGACAATTTGGTAGGGCACTAGGAACAAATGCAGATGGCCATCACTCAGACAGGCAAGAGAAATCTCATGCCGTGCAGGCAGTAAACAAAGTCTTGGCAACGCCAGTCGAGTCTGTGGTTCACTCTGAACCACGGAAAGGACGTTGCCAGTTGCCTTCCTTTTCAGAAAAGTCAGTTGTGTTTCCCTCTGGTGAAAACATGGACTTGACTGGCAACTGCGTGGTCATGGCTCCTGATTACATCAGTGCTGTTTGGCCAGAAAGAAAAACATTACCTGGATATCCTGTTCAAGATGAAAAAATAATGCCCAATGATGTGTACTCCTTGGCGTCCGGCAAAAAAATGTTACCCGTGAGTGGTTTAAAACCTTTGCTTTTTGCAAGTGAGAAAACAACCATATTTTCAGAAGATGCTGATATGGACATTACCAGAAGTCATACAGTTTCAGCAGACAAAATCATTTTGCAGTGTAAAAATTCCAGTAGTGACGCATCCTTCATTTCTGGAGATAAAACTTGTGTTTTTACTTGCGATAATGACATGGAAATAAGTAGGCTCAACACTGTTGCAATTGATAAATCTACAGAAAAGGCTGCGTCTCAAGGGATGCTTATGGCTAAAAGGACTGGAGGGAAAAGCCTGAAGGGAACAACAGGGGAACAGACTGTTTTATTTTCGCTGAGCGATGAGAACAATGACATGGAGATCACAGAGAGCCACACGGCTGCCATAGGCCGTGAAATTGTCTCACCAAGCGAGGGAGGGCTTTGTTCTGCCTCTTCAGCTCATCCTGCTCAAACTGTGGCATTCACAAGTGGCCAGGCTGACATGGACATCGCCGAGCCTTGCTCTGCTGACAAAATTGCCGTAAAAGTGGCACGTGAGGATGAACCAAACTCAGATGAGGAGGTTGGACAGCGAGTACTTCCAAGTAGCGAAGCTACAGTGCTTGCTGTGGCTGATATGGAGATCACTAAAACCCAGCACGTAGCTTTGGAAGAAAATTCTCTGCCAGGCGGGCCACCCGCTCAGTCTGTTCCTTCGACTTCCACAATTATGTTTACGAGTCACCAGGCTGACATGGAAATGACCAAGGCTCACTCCGGTGATGAAAGCATCGAAAGAGTCTTTTGCGAGGACAGATTAAACCCAGCAAGGCAGGCTGGGCAGGGCACTGTTTCCAGAGGTGAAACCGTCATCTTTCCTTTGGCCGAGGATATGGGGATCACCAGAATTCGTACAGCTCTGCTAAGCGGTGATGTCGCTCAGAGCAGAGAGCCCACTCCTGCCGACAGAACCATTGTGTTTACCCACGAGCAAGACGACATGGAAATAACCGCATCCCATACTATTGCCGTCAGTGACAACATTAAGGAGTTAGAGAATCGAGAAGTGTCGCGTAAAAGCACTCGGCAGCCAGACTTGCGTAGTGTCTCCTTGTCTTCCTGCAGAGATGAAGTAGATCCCTCGCGTACGAAAGACCTGCATGGTGAGTATTGCACAAACTCTCAGGGTGAGCCCTGCATTCCCTCTTCCAATTCATCAGCTTTTCCCAGCGAGGAAGGAGCCAGCAAAGTCCCCAGTGGCACGACACCAGGTCCTGTTCGTTCTGTCTCGCTTCCACAAGAGACAATGGGTGTGCAGACACCACAGGATCTCGACCTTCCCGCGGCTGATTCTGTCCCTGTAAGCAGTGAGCAGGATCTCCTGCTGCCAGAAAACCTCAAAAAATCAAAGAGAGTCTCTTTCAAGCTTCCAAGTGATGCTCCCACGGATTGCAGTGGAGAAAGCGACGATTTGGTGTCCCCTGTTTCCATTCCCACCCAGCAACCAGATCCTTCACCAGGTTCTCCAGATGCACGTGGTACTCGGGGAAACCAGGCGCTGAAGGATGATCCACCTGGACATAAAGATTCAGCTACAGGTTTAGGCTTAGCTGGAGCAAGCCTTGTTCCAGTTTCTAACACGGAATCAAAAGAGAACGAGGGACTGCCAGCTGAAGGGCAAACGCCTCCAAAAGACTTTCAGATAAACTCTGAGCAGACTAAGAAACTGTCGGTCAGTGACAGTCCAAGAGATCAAACAGAGCCCACTCTGGCCCCTGAGTTCTCAGGTATTTTAAACGTTTGTTCAAAGCTGGAAAACATTAGAAGGAAATCTGCACTTCTCTCCAGTTCCGAAACTGCTTTTTCTGACCACGTGCCCAAATCATCGACTCAGCCAGAGGATACCCTGAAGTTAGGAAAAAGTACCGTAAATGAACCAAATGATTTATTTTACACCAGAGAGCAGGAGAACACATGTCCTGAATCTGGAGCTGCTCCCATAGATGCAAATTTAGATTTGGCATTTAAGGATAAATATCAAGGAATAAACGTCCCTCTGGGTATCTTCCAGCCTAAATTACCGACCAGAAGAAACCCTTCTGTTTCTAGTGTACAAGATATAAATGCAAAATCTTCAGACAAAGGAGAAGCACCGGTTTCAGAAGCAGGCGTGAACAGCTGTGAAAGCCCAGGCAACACGAAGCCTAGCAGGCAGAACATCAGCCCTTCTCAGTTTATAGCAGAAGAATTTCTTCCTGTCAGCCTGGAAGACATGGATTCAAACGAATCGGTAAGCTTGGAACTCATGGAAAATGCTTGCCATGAGGTAAGCAAAAACCAAATCTCCCACGATGGAAAGAGCCAAGGTGAAGAGACGAAAACTTGCAATGCAAAACGAGCTCTGGAGCAAGATGAGGAGGATCTTCAAAGTCCAAAGAAGGTCAAGAGAGAAGAGAACGTGGATGGTGAGGCCTCCCAAGACTTGCAGGTGAGCCTCATCTCATGGCAAGGACACAGTGAACACTAAGAGCACTCTTGTTTGAGTTTTGGAGGTGTAAGCAGCTCTGTCGGCAGGTTTTCTTTTCTCTTAACCACGAGTTTGCTGTCATTTCACTACGTGTTTTTCATTGTTTTGCCAAAATAGAAGAATCGGGTTAGTGTGGGCAACTTTCCTGAACCATGCAAACCAGGCAGAATAAGGGATCTGCCAACTGGAAATCGTTCTGTCCATGCTATCCTTTTAGTCCTGTCTTGGCTAAATACTCTCCGTCCTCTGAACTTAACTCTTCCCTAGTTGTTGCTTAGGTGCACTGACGGAGGAAGCCTAGAGCAATTATTTAAAATCCAAACATGGATGTTCACTTTAAATTGGCTATTTTATAGACAGCACAAATGGCAGTTGTATCCGGAAATTCTACGCGAACATTCATCTTGACCTTTAAAATAAGTTTGTAATCACCAGTAGAAACTTTCCAGTTCCAAAAGCTGGAAGAGTGTGCTGTGGTGGCCACTGCTTTGCTTGAGAAATAAATGAAGGAAGGATTTTGCAGCTTTGCTTCCTACAGCTCATCAAAGGAAATGGCTTAACGAGCCCTATGCTGGTTTGTCGTGCTGATTAGGTACAAAATGTGCCGATACTAAAAATTCTGGATGTCAAGAAACAAATACTGATCGACTTGTACTGCTCTGTATAATTCTTCTTTATTTTTTTAACTTTCTAATGTTAGGTTACTTTTGGTGCTGTGTCTCAAAACCAAGAAGTTCATGATGGTGAAGATCCTCCAAATCTCTTGGCTAAAAGCCCTGACTGCACTCACGCCAGCACCAGCAGCTCTCTGGATTCCGTTAAGGCTGACACCGAATTAACAAGTAAGAATTCCTTTGTGGTAATGGTCTCAAACCTGCTGTTCTTTACGCTTAATCACGGAACCGTACCCAATGTTTTATTTGGGAAAGGCCTTGAATTCCCGCGTCCAGCTTCTTTCAGCACTAGAAACACACATAAAGGTCAAACTCTACGTTAAAATTGCTTTTTTTTTCCTAGAGCCAATGAGCTAAGATTCCAATTTCTGTAAGAATGTTGTTAACCTCAGCAATATCCCCTCTTTCTTCTCTTGTTCTTTTGGCTAGTTCAGAGAAGCAGTCAGATGGAGTCTCAGCTTCTCACAGATAGCATTTGTGAAGATAACTTACGGGAGGTACGTAAGTAGCTGCAGGATGCTAACTTCTTGCCTTTACAGGAAAAATACTTGCGTGCAGATATGCAAGTAAACGTTCATGGTTGAAAAATGTACTTATCTGTGCGTGTTTCCTAATTTTTACAGAAATTTCAGAGTGGTGTTATCACAGTTGGAGAATTTTTTACTCTTCTTCAAGTCCACATTCCGATCCAGAAGCCCCGACACAGCCACATTCCAGCCAGCGTGAGTATCTGGCCTTTGATATACGAGATTTAATTGACCTGAAATTATATCCCTGTGGGTTTTTTCTTTCTAGTGATTAGTATATGCCTCAAAAGTGAGGAAACGTGGGGCATAAAAGTGGAATGAGCTATCTAAGGTTAGATGCCTCACTTGTCTCAGAACGAAATGGGACACGTCCAGAATGAAAGCAGCCATTGGAGCACGTCAGGCTGCCCCCGCTAGGTTGTTTGGGCTTTTTTCTGTTCTGCAAAAATAAAGATTCTGAGCCTTTTGCAGGCGTCTGTGCACGAAATGATTGGAAGTTGCCGTTTCTGAAAACTATGGATCTTATATTCTTTCTTTTCACAATTTCCCCTCTGTTTTTCCCCAGGGTGCAGTCAGTGCACCACCTACTGCAGAAGACCTCCTTTACAGCCAGTATGTTTATCGCCCCAAGCTGCGTATTTATGAAGAAGACTGCCGGGCCCTTTCTCAGAAGATCGATGAGTAAGTGCTTTCTCAGTCACAGGGTATATTGTAATTTTATTTTTTTCAGTTCTAGTTGCCTGCAAAGTAGCCTGAAGAAAGTTCATACTTTACGTATGAGAAAAATTAAAGGGGAATGAGTTGTGTAAATACCAACGTGCTCCTTTCAGTGCTGGGTGCAGCTGCAACAAGACTTTCTGTCGACTTTTATTATTTTTTTTTCCCCACATTCCAGGTTAAAACCCTGTGCAAATGTCCAGGATCAGCTCCTGGTGAACGTGAATAAGAGTCTCTGGGAAGTAATGAGAACGTGCTCTGATGAAGAGGTAATACTGCATGAAGAGATACTGTGGTTTCTCACATAGTGAAGTGAGGTGAATCGAAGTATTTAGATGAAATAAGAACCAGAATGGTTAGTTACAGCAGGCAAGTAGGTGATAAAAGGAAAAATATTTTCTGGATGGAAAACTGCAAGGAGAACTTACGTCAGAAGAATGCAAGGATATGTTCCCTTTAAAATATATTAAAGGCAGTCTGTTGCTATAACACAGAAAAACTTGATAATTCAAGTTGATAATTCAGGTTCTATGAGGGCAGAAAAGAGAAGTGTAACTTTAGAGAGGCTTACGCAAACAGTGCAATTCTGGAAGTTAAAAATCAGCTGCTCTTACTGAGACTCTCTTGCTTCACTAGTGGAGCAGAATTGTCCATGAACTGAAATGCGGATTTAGTTCAGAAAGACACGTCATGTTGCAAGGCACTTAACGAACAGAAAATATGTGTCATTACACAAAAATAAAACCGCATGCAAGATTTGGAATGCAACAACGGTGTCGCATGCCAGAACAAAGGATGAGGCCAGAAAGTATTTAAAGGAGAACGGTAGTGATAGTGGGCACACACACCAGGACACCAAGCACAGTTATGTTTTGAGCAATCTTGGTGCCTGTTCCCATTCACTTTCTCTTTGTATTTCCCATCCATCACAGCTGAAGAGCTTTGGAGCAGAACTGAACAAGATGAAATCCTGTTTCACCAAGGAGAGCAAAATCTTGGCTCACAACGAGAAAGCGACGCTGTACAGCAAGTTGCTGCAGAGCGCGCAGGTAACGTGCCACGAGGCTACGGAGGTTCAGCTTTCAAAAAAGGAACTTCTCTGGTGTTCCCCCTCTCTGACTGTCAAGCGCAGGAGCCTGATTATTGTACCTTTGCATGTTTTCTTGAAATTTTGCTTCTTACTAAACATACCTCCCTTTTATGTGCGAATGTAAAACACCTTGGGACAGTGACTGCCTTGTACTAACACTGCAAGAACCTCCTGCCTCAGGGTTTTAGCAGTGGAAGTAACAGTGGAAAAGACGAGTATTAAAGGAAGTGCCACCAGAAATCAGCTCTTTATACTGTCATAATGTCAGTAACTAGCAAGGAAATGAAGAAATAAAGCTTTGTGATAGTTATCAGAAATCTGTATGTGTGAAAAGCTCTAGGAATTTATTTCCATGTCTTAGCCCTTCATAAGAAAAGTCATTAGGAAGATACCCCCTTTACTTAGGGTTTGCCAGTCTGCCGCTTCCTTCTAACCACAGACTGCGTCAGCTTCTTTAAGTGGCTTCTTAGCAAGCAAAGACCCACGTGGTGGTCCCTGAAGACCATCCAGCTTTTCCAAAAAGCCATTGACCTGAGCACCATTTCCCACCTTAGGAACAACACAGAAAGCTGCAGTCGAGACTAGAAAAGCTGGATGAAGTGCTCAAGGAGGCCCGGAGCTGCCTCGTTGCTCTGGGAGCAGGTAAGTGTTTCCAAAGCAGTGACTGATAACGCCGATTCCTCCATTTTTCTGCAGTTTAAACAATCACCTACGAGACTGTGTTGGGTGATGGGTGGAATTTTACAATTCCTTTGTTACTAGGCCTAAATGCCTTTGAATTTTCTTCCAATGCCTTAAGTAAAAATCAAATTACACAACAGCAGCCTTGAAACAAGGCCATAAAAGGAGCTTTCCTTGTTATCTGTTACTTTTTGAGATTTTTGGTAGGTACCCTTCCAGCTTTTTGTACGTTCCTCTTAGTTGGCTTTGAATTACTAAGATTTATGGAACTCTCAGGCAAATAAAATGGAATCTAAGTCTCGAATCTGAGAGTTCTGCAGAGAGCTGATACTTCTTCTTTCCCACAGATTCTGACTGGGAAGAATCGGAAGCAGACTCGAGTGATGAAATGGCAGAAGCGAAGAACCTGGAGGAAGGTAACGGTGCTGGCAGAACGGCCCTTCTGGTTTGGTCAGTTAAATTCGGGCCCGTGTGATACTCAGCCCCATCCCTGACATATTAACTCTGATATGAATGCAAATGCTACTGCTTTCTTTTCTGCATTGGATATAGAGTTTGAAGTATGAAAAGGACTGGTTTTCCCTGGAAAAAAAAATGAAGATTAGGACTTGGCACAGTGTGGCTTAAGGAGTGTGTGCTGGCTGTCATCTTCAGCACTTTAATTGTTCAGTAATTAGTAGCTTCTGTTGATGGCGTAGCTGTATCCAGGCAGGGGTAACAGCCATCAAGCTAAGATCTTTGCTGCTCTTTCACAGCTTTTTTCCCTTTCTCTTAGAATTGGAATACCTGAAAAACCTGAAAGCCCAAGAAGAGGCACTTCAAAAGTAAGATGTCAAAGAGGATCTAGAGACCTTAAGTCACCTGTGCACACTTGGGGTTTGGGGGGTTGGTGGTTTTCTTAACTGGTGTGCTACCAGCTGGTTTATCTTTTGCAGAGAGCTGTCGGATCTGGAGACTGAGGATGAGCAAATTCTTGCTCAGATGAACCGGCTGGAGGAAGAAGAAAAAAGCTGCCAGGAACTCCTGGAGAGATTCGAGTAAGGAAAAGACGTTCAGGTTTTATTTTTATCAGCTAGTTCTGGGGTCTCGTATTTTAATACAAATGTTTTGGGTCTTGTTTTTCCGTGTTATTTGATCTGGGAAATCTTTGGCTGCCCATCTCCTTGCAGCCTAGGATAAGCAATAAAAGCTCGGTGAACTGCTGTGTGCGATGCACTGATTTTCTATCAACAGCTTCGCAGTGATACTCTATGTTCAGTCTTTCTGTATCCAACTCCCCTCCTATTCCACAACAAACATTTCTGTCAACACTTGTGTTCCCAACATATTCTCAGATTCTCTTGGAATGTGCAAATTCCCTTGTTGTGTTCTGTGCCAATGCACGTACTGCTCTGATCGTTGTCTTTCAGGTAATTGTGTTGCCTGGTTGAAACGTAAGAGTGATGGTGGTTTTTTTCCCCTTCCCCTTTTAGCTTCACTGAGTGGGAGATTACTGAATGGAGTGAACAGCGGGCAGTCTTTAATTTTCTTTATGATTCGATTGAACTCACCGTTGTGTTTGGCCCCCCAGTAGGTAAGTCACAACCTTGGTAGGTTTCAGGTTTATCTGTTGGAAAGGTTAAAGGGTTACCTCACAGAAACCTGCAGCCTCTGTGTTTGTGAAGGTCTGCTAAAAGGAAACAGAAAACATACTACAGCGTGTAAGCTGAGAGAGGTGGCTTTGAATATGCTTATGCGTGCTTGCTGTAAAAATTCTGGAAAGTGTGTAAGGAGTGGCTGTTTCTGAAGAGGAGGAGCTGTAACTCCAGAGCCAAGTACAGAAATAACTACTGTTTGGGGTTGGTTTTTTTTCACTTTCCTTCTCAGACGGTGATGTTTTCGGTGAAGATCCTTCCAGAAAGATCATTAGCCTGAGCTTCGAATCCTTCCTGGATGGTAAGGGGGTGTTTTTTTGGTAGCTTGAAATCTGTTCTTGGGAAGGCATGTGTGGTTCATCTGCTAACACATGGCTATATGGCTTTTATAAGATTTCTGGCAATGTGTTTTTCATTTGGATTTCAGAGGAAAAAGCTCCACCTTCCACACGTTTAGTTCAAAGACTCATCTTCCAGTTTATTGGGAGTCATCAGGGATGCTGGCAGGAGGAGTGCCCCACCCTGTACTACCTGCCCCAGGTAATGCTCCAGGAAAGCCTGGAAGGCTCTGGAAGGACATTAAATCTTTTCTGTCACAGACAATAGGGCTGATGCTGAGAAAAATCATCTTAGTGAATGCTTCAGCAGTGCAAATCAAAATTTGCTTCAGGAACATTCTGTGGGGGAGGGGAACTACCTGTCCCTGAAGGCAAAAGTCCTAAAAGCTGCAGTTTCTTCCTTGTTTGCCACATTAAGGTCTGTCTGTCATAGTGATTTCTTAAAATTCTTTCTTTTTTTCCTGCCAGTAGAAATTATTGAGCTGAGTGCCATTCTGTATCCTAAAGAATTAATGGTTTAAATTGCCAAGCCAAACCTGGTGTTGCTGCGCGTCTGTGCAGCCCTGTTGACAAAGCCCAAGGGAGAAACTTAGGGCAAAAACCTGTGTATTTGTTGTTACGCTTGGACAACTTCATTTGCACACCCCAAGTGAGATGGCAGAGAAACTGCTTTTTTGGGAGGGATTATACTTTCTAGGATAAAGTGCGCTTCCAAGCGTCACACGGGCCTGTGTGCCGGTGTGATTGCTTTCCTGCTTGCCCACTCAGGTTCTTCATGAGGTCTCTCTGGTGGTGAGTCGCTGCAAGATCTTAGGAGAGGAGATTGAATTTCTGGAGAGATGGGGTGGAAAATTTAATCTTCTGAAGACGGATATCGATGAGACGAAGTGAGTAACTTCCGGTGGAGTTTACACCAGTCCTTCAGAGAGTGTTTCTAGGTCATCAGAAACAAAACACTGAAATATGGCTAATTTGTTTTCTGGGTTTTTTTGTTTTGTTTTGTTTTGTTTTTAATTGAGATTTTATGCCACTGTGTTTAACAGCAATTAGAGTTACTTTGATACAATATACAAGTGCATGGAAACTCGGTGTTAGAGTGGGAAGGTTCTTTTAACCTTATTTATGAAGTTACTGTTAGTCTGTGCTGGAAAGGCTGTAGGAGTTCCTGAGCTTGTTGCATCAAGGAAAACATTTGTAATCACACCATTCTGTGGTTTGTTTTCGGTTCGGGAACCTAACTCAAAGGCGCTGGCAGTACTTTTGAATATCATGTGTTGATCTTGGTGTTTCTTTCGCATCCAGAGTGAAGCTTTTGTTCTCCGCGGCCACAGCTTTTGCGAAGTTTGAGCTGACCCTGTGTCTGTCTGCCAGCTACCCTGCTGCTCCGCTGCCTTTCACTGTCCAAAGCCAAATTGGGAATATCGGGTGAGCTGAACAGAAGGAACCACTCCACAGCACTTCAGTTTCAAAGCTAGGGGTGGGGAGTTAAACGTTCCGTATCCTCTTAAACGCATGTGATAACTTTACCTCTTCCAGGGAGAAGGAAGTTTCTGCTGTTCTCTCCAGCGTGCCTGTTGGTCACCACTATCTGCGGAGAATAGTCAGCTTGATTCATCACCATTTGCTCCAGGATCCCAGCTGATCTGCTAGATCCACGTGCGAGACTGAAGACGGCAGCCTGGAGAGTCTTTGATTTTAGTCTTGTAAGAGTTCAAGCTGTCTCTCACCAGAACGGGGGGGCTGTTAGCTGCTCGGCTCGTTAGTATTCTTGTCTAATAACTGGGTTGGTAACCAGGCGTAGGCCTCAAGTTTTCTAAAAGAAAAAGAGGAGAAGGAAGTATTTTCTGTCCTTTACAAATCCAATCTGCCTTTTATCTTCCATCAGTCACTGATGGTCTTGGCCTCCTTACACAGTCTTCCTTGCATGGATATTCTTCTGACATGCCATGTTAATTTTGTTTGGGGTTGATGTACAGAGCTCTTGTTTAAAACAACGATCAGCATTTTCTAAATTAACACAACTGGAATTTGCTTTTGCTATTATTGCTTCCCCACTCTGCTGCATTTTGACACACATCACGTTTTATTTTTATCAGTTCCCTGGAACCCCTCCCAAAACACAGACACTATAGCCCTGCTTCCGATGACCCAGATGACCTCTGATAATTAACCAGGTGGCCAAAGTTAGAAATAACTCCCAGTCCCTCTGCTGGACCGTAGACTTGGCGGTGCCACAGACTCAAAGCCGTCGGGTCCTGTGTGCGTGCTCCTCTCCAACTCGAAGTTTGTTCTGATGTTCAGTGTCTCTGACCAGCTCCGTCTGTCTCTTGGTTCTGGCACATTGTCCGAGTTCGTAAGGCGTTAGAATTTTAGTGAGGAGACCGAGCTGTTTAAATTTAGACGGTATCTGTAGTATCACTGGTGCGGTCTAGGCTGGGTTTGTATATATTCTGTATATTACGTTGGTTACGCTGTTGGAACTGATCTCACCCTCATGGAGTTTATCGCCCGTTTCTCAGCTGGCCATGCTGTAGGCAGATGCACATTTTTGTACCTCTGTAAAATATGTTGAGTTTAAAAATGTTTTCGTGTGTTTGAGTGTTTATCTATTTTTGCCTTCTTACAAATTTTCCTTCTATTTGGAAGGTGGGAGTTCATTAAACATTTGAATTATCGCTCTTCCTTCTTCAGGTTGTGATTATTGGCTGCTCCATGTAAACTCGTGACTGCCAACTTGCCTGCTACTATTGAAATAACTGAGCTATGTGGGAGGGATTTCCATAATACCAACGCGTGTGCTTGGTTTCTTTCCCAGCATTTCCTAGCGCTACCTTTCTGTGGCTTGGCTTTTGCGGATTGATTTTATTTTTTTAAATAGGAAAATAGCACCGAAGTTGCACATGACTTGGGCATTATACCTGGAATTACTTTTAAATTTCTGAGGGCCGCTCTGTCAGCGTTACTAACCCGCAGAGGGTGCTGCAGCAACATTTCACGAGCATTAGCCAGCCAGAGCTTTTTTATTTGTCTGACTGAGTTTCTCTTACAGCCTATTTACAACCTGAGGAGCCGGATGACTGTGAAGACAGAAGTGAGCGCTGTGGTAGTTTTATTATATTCCTCTGGGTATTGAATCGAAGTAGCAGATGAAACAAAGCAAAACAAAGCGAAGCATTTGCAGTAAAAAAAGGGGATTAGGCAGAAATTAAGCAGTCCCGGTTTTATATTTAATTTAGGTTTGTACTTGACGGTCTTATTTAAACTCCCCTCGGGGCATTAGGGCTCAACGATCATAACACCTGTCATCTCTAGGACTTCACCTATTGCTGCTAGAATCTTCATAGAGATAAAATATTTACAAAAACTCATTTTGCAAGCCAAGTTTTGACGCTGATGCTGTCACCAAAGCTTTTCACACTCAGTGGTTATTCTAACCCTTGCTCAGCCCTAAGGCTGGATATGGAATATCAAAGAACTCTTCACAACTCGCTGCAGCTCGCGGAGTAAAGCTCAGATGGGATCTCGGGTTATGGCTGCACCTCTTTTGAGGAGGGGGGGGGGGGAAAGGTAAGGGAGAATAAATTAATTGCGTTTCACTAATTTAGTTTTTTAAGGACAAAAGTAGCCTATAGATTATTTCCTATTTGGCAACAGGATAGCAGCTGTGAAAGAATGAGCTCTGCCGCATTTCCACGCGAATGCCCCTTGGCACGCTGTCTGGGCTGACTCTAAGGGTTAATTTT